AATGACACCTTTCTATACTTGGAAACAATTTGACTTTAAACTTCTCCTTTTAACCTTGATGACTTGCGTTTATAACCACAAAAATATCATGGCATATATAAACCACAAGATCTAAAAAAAAATTCTTTCTTGAACTTTGTTCTCAGTCAAAGCCTTCCACATAAATTGAAATGGTGAGAGTAACTTTTAACCACTTCTTTGGATTTTGGTCAACTAAATGCATATTTGCATACCTGCCTTTAAAACATCATGTTGGTTTTTACTTTATTTTAAGCTTATATTACACATTGTACCATTCATCAGCCCAGGAACTGGAGAAAGATATCCATGGTTCAGCTGCTGATTCTCTTCCAGCAGAGAAGAAACTTGTGTTGTATGACAAAATATTTGCAGCATATCACGAAGCCAGGAGCTGCATCCGGAATGACCTGGTGAGTGACTACTCCTTATATTACATGGAAGTACCCGACTCTTGGAAATTTCAAGTTGCTCTTGAATATTGCATACATCAATTTGAAGTCCTGAATTGGTCCATCTTATACATGGTTTTTCTTCTAGGTTACGGCTGCTAATTCGGAAAATGTTAAGGATGAGTTAAGTGGACTGGATAAAGCCATTGGTGCAACTTTAGGGCAGCGAACCATTGAGAGGAATCAGTTGCTAGTTAAAATAGCTAAAAGCAAGCTCAACAAGGTCCGTGATGATAAAAATGAAAAGGTCACAAAGCCGGAGGAGCTTGTTCGGCTGTATGATCTATTGCTACAGGTAACAATTATGGAATGTTATTTTTTTATTACATTCTTAATCAGTGCATTTTAGATCAGAGTTGGCAATATGACAAAACTCACTTATATGGCTATTGGACTGCACTATTAACTGCTTGCTCTGTTGCAGAATACTGCTGATCTTTTTGATCTAGTTAGTTCTGGTAGAGATAGAAAAATGGAAGAAGTTGCCTTAGCTGAAGAGTGCGAGCTGAAAAGTATGGTTTTCCGAGCAGAAAGGTTTGACTTCTATTATTTCGCAATTGAAATGTTTACTTTGAGCCAAGGTCTATCAAAAATAGCCTATCTACCTCCCAAGGCAGGGATAAGGTTTGAGTATGCACTACCCTCCCCAGGCACCACTTGTGGGACTATATGTTGTGATTGTATTGTTTCTTTCATTATGTGATAGTTGAAGTGACGTTTCTGGTGAGAAGGGGAGAGTGAAAGACTATCTTGATATGGTTTTAGCACTTCTTGTAGCCATCGAAAACTAATATTATTGGTGAAACTTTTTTTTTTTTATTGGCTGATAAAGCTAATATTATTGGTGAATTTACAGAAGGGAGATCTGGAACTTCAGTATCTCAGATAAGGAAGTTGTACAACTTCAATGTACAAAATGATGAAGTGATGATCAATGAAATAAAGCTTTGTGTATTTTAATGTAGTCCTAGGATGAATATTTTCTTGTTTGAAATCAATTAAAAGCTTTTATTTCAATTTCCCTCCAGGTGCTTCTACTTGGCAAAGTCCTACAGTTCAGTGGGTAAGAGGACAGAAGCTTATGCCTTGTACTCTCGAGCTCGTTCTTTAGCTGATGCAGCTCTTATGAAACTGCAGTCTGCGAATGCTGCTGATCAGGTAAGCACTTCATTAGTGTAAAACCTACTTTTATTATATTATGTTATTGTGCATGTGCTCTTAATTTTCATTGATAGAGCTTCCTAGCTGCTTCTTATAGGATGACTAGAACAAAGATGTCCGTGCTAGACGCGGGCCCAACTCCAAAATGTTCAAATTTGTATCATTATGTATTCATGATTTCCTAACTTCCTCAGAACTTTAAATCTCATCTTAAGATCTTTCTTTTAACTTATAGTATACTACAACATTAAGCGTAAGTTGATTAAATTTTTTCGAAAGGATAAAATGTGATATGAATTTTTATGGTTTTAAAATTAGTTATGTTCTTTATACTCTTTAATATTTACAATTGTTTTTTATATGTTACTAACGATTTAAAACATTATAGACGATGCTGTAAAAGGTAGGACACACTTGGCATTTAAGTAAAAGATTCCTGGTGTTTTCTTAATTTAAGTGCACAACAAAGTACCAAAGCCTATATTGCAAGTAAACAATGCACAAATGTAAGACAAAATGGCCATAATGCCATAAAAATGAATTTTATGACTTTAAGCAGCCATGTTGACCTTCAACTGCTAACTCTTCCTTGTGTGTGTGTGTGTGTGTGTGTATATAAGTAGTAAATTTTGATGCATAATTATAGCATTCTTATTTTTCTTCTTATGTCTCTTCAATCAGTAATATGAGTGTGAATGATTCTGCTTTTATGTATATCCTTTTGTCATTGTTTTCTCTCCATCTGTATCAGGTCATGATCAAGGAGCTGAGAACACTGTACAACGAGAGCAGATCGAACAGCTGTGTTGAGCATGCCAAAGGAATTATGGAGGAGGAAAAGGCTCCAGAAAATCTCTCGAAAAAGATATCAAATATCTCATTGAGTGGAACTGATAAGAAGGTATGATTTAGCCTTCCAATGTCTGTTGAGTACTTTTGCAATCATTCCCATTAGTTAATTTGTTGTAGTATTCACCTTTTCTTTGATGTTCTTGGTGCATATGGAACACATATTCTTAGACTACTATATGAAAAACTAGGGAAGAAACCTATGGAGATTCTCTGTGTCGTAGAACTACTTCCAACCATCTTCTACTATGACCTTTTCTGATTGGGTTTGATCATATTGAATTCAGAAATTTTGGATTTCTTCTGAAGAATAATTATTGACTGCTGGATTATGTGAATATGGAGAGTTGGAAAAAGAATTAGTTCGAATTAAGAATTTTGAATTCTTGGTCATTCAAAATCTAGTCAAACATTAGATGAGTCTCTCGCTTATTATTAGCAAAAACATTAATAGTTTTCTCAATCTCATGTCCTTTAGAGGATACTGCATTTTGTGTGCATGATTCCTCAAATTAATAGGCATAATGTGACATGAAGTTGTAGATTCCGTTGCTTTTCTAGTGTTTGTGCTGGAAAAGGTTTCAACTCATGAAATGATAACACAGTTAGAAAATTTCTTCTGGTGTTATAATTATGCTTGTGTCCCCAAAAGAAGGTCAGACATGAACTACTAAGAGTGGTGTTCCTTCATTGATAATTCTCGCTGAGCACTTCACCATTGTGGTTGACACAAATCCCTACCCCCACCCCCACACAGTAGAAATTTCAGTTTTACTTCATTTTAGGTTTTTATCCAATTAGTACTGCTTAGATGCTCCCAACTGTTGGACATATTTTCTTGATAGTTCTATATAAGCTAGCACAACATTAGCGTAACCTGAATGTTTGAAGCACCAAGTATGATTCTGCCTTGATAAATTTTTGATACTCGATATGTGGTAGTTAAAAGTGTTCATGCTATTTCTCTTTCAATAATTCCATGCTATGTTGCTCGGGTTCTTCAAAAATACCAATAGGTGTGTGTCGAATTCTCCAAAAATACATTACTTTTGGAGAATCTAACACGGGTGCAGTGCCGAAAGTGAAGAGTCCGTGTAACTTAGATTCCTTGGCAGTTGATTGCCTGTTTGTTTTTATTCCAAGAACTGAGTCCTTTATATCCTTATTTGTTCGGGGTTGTTTTTAGGCATTATATTTTGCATTCTTCCTTTTCTAGTTTGTCTTGTCTCTGCTTTCATTTCCATTTGTGCTCTTCTGATTCCCCTGCCCCTGATGTGTGTAATCCATGTTTTTTTACTTCTTTTAGATGGAGAAACTTCTCATGGAAAAATTGGATACATACGAATCAGCTGTTGGTGAAGCCAACATGAAGGTTGTTCCTCGAATTGAGACTTTTCCACCTGCCTTCCAACCAGTTCCTCGTAATCCCATCGTATTGGACCTGGCTTATAACCTTATTGAGTTCCCATCACTGGATGCTCGTATGAAGAAAGACAAGAAAGGTTTCATCAGTAGGTTTTGGGGCTGAGCTTCTTTTTTCCTTGGTCATTGATTTGTCAGTTGCACCATAGAGTTGAGGCAATTTTGTGAAATTTTAAGCTGCGAAATTCTTCCACATGCCTTCAGAAAATTTATCTATACCTGAGAATTCTCAGAAAATTCATTCTATATGCACTCTGTCTTTTTTAAGTTCCAATTTTGGATCAGATTTCAAAAGAATCTTGAACAGGAGGAATTTATTTAGATGTGCATTCTACTCCTATGTTGCATCTCTTTATATTTCAACCAAAAAGAAAATTAACCAAGTTTGTTTTGAAATAAAGGGTAACACCCAACTACCTCTATCGCAATTTGGAACTAAAGTTAATTATAAAATGCTTTGGGTTGGATTCTTAAAGATGTGGTGTCTTTGTACTTGTTCTCAATTTTTTTTAACATCTTGCGATGATTTGATGTCGTTCCTACCAAGTATTAGAAGTTACATCATACTGGCAATGGATCAACTTCTGTTTACGTGAGGGCAATATATTTTGGACAGATTTGTCCAATTTCTGTACGCACTTAAAATTTACCCTTTGAACATGTGTAGAACCATACAGTCTGTAGAATGATTTTGGTTACATCCAACATATGTCACTCAAGAGCCAAAGTCATTAACAAAATGGTCAACATATGCATCTTGTATCAAAATCAATCAGCTAATTGCTGCATATCATTGTTCTCTCTATAGATCAAAACAGTCAGATATCTAGCAAAATGCTTCAGAATGCTCTGAAGCTCACACAAAATCAACACATGATCTAATCATGGGGTTGAATTATCTGCTTTATACATACATCCATGCTCGACACAGTTATGATTCACACAAGTCGTACCAAATGCCAAAATGAAGATCCAAAACAGAATTACAAACACTTTTTTCGTATATGTTTGACACAAATACATCAGCGCAAAATGAAGATTCATGTACCATAGGTGAAAAGAGAAATATACCTGCAAACATGTGACATAGCAACATATTTAGGTAGGTAGAGGTCTGTCGAAAGAGTGTTCTTCGCCCGAATGGAAGAAGAATCCAATGAAAACAGCAATTATCCACAGCACGAATGTCAGTGTCACCAAATGGAATTTCTTTGAGACAATGGCATTATAGCAGTCCTTGTCTTCTGGCAGTCCATAGAACTCTTCAACTACAGTGTTCATGACAGCATCGAGAAGCTTCTTATACCGAATATCAATATCTGTTGCATTCACCACTTGCAGTTGAGCTTCTCTTAGGTACTTTACTGCCATTTCAGCCTCAACAGAACCAAACTTCACATCACTGATTTGTGGAATTCCACTTCGGCTATTCGAACCAGTGCATTCTTTGAACCTGTCAGAAGTTACTGTCGATGACAATGGAGTCAGATCAGCAAGAGGATCCACTGCCTCTGATGAAGGAGAAGTTTCTGGAATCAACAACAAGTCCTGAGAGGAATAGGGATCCGAAAGTTACATCTCAAATACTATAAGGTGTAGTGAATTTCGCAAACATGAAACTCAATTCAAGTATCTCAAAATTGAAAACATACATAATGGAGATACAAATAGCTTATTTATCGCAAACAGTATAGGAAATTATGGACAGATTTTGAATAAACTAGTGAAATCTAAGCGAATTGCATACTTAACCCTAACAGGCACACACTGTACTGCTGAAAAGTGAAAATTGAGTTCATAGCTGCGAAATCAAACAATACAGAGAAAAAAACACTTCAAATGAATAAAAGGTCAAAAAATTACAAACGCAAATCGGATTTAATGAACGGACTCAGCTAACTCAATTTTGTGTAAATACTACAATTAGTGATGAAAATTCGCGCACACATCCTGAATTATCTCAGCGGCGTATTCAGTGAATGAAATTAACAGAGAAGAAATTGGAACTTGTTCGCTGTTAGGCTTGTGTGAGAAGTACAATTAGCGATGAAAATGCAAATAAATAGCTAGAAAATTGATGAAGCAGGAGGCATTTCAGAAATTACCTCAGCGGCGGATTCAGTGAGTAGACTATGATCATCTGAAATCAGAGAAGAAGTGCCGATCGATGATTGAGAAAATGAGGAGGCAGCTTGCGATTCAAACACAGAATTCAAGTTCTTCCTAGTGCTCTGCATACAAACAATAATATGAATATAAGAAGAGAAAACAGAGGATACATATGAATGTTCATTGCTGAAAGCTTCTTTATACTTTTATCTGCTTCTTAGTTTGATCGGCGGAGATGGATTTGGATCGGCGATTTCCGAGCTCCTTCAATGGCGTTTGAAGATGATGCTCTCTCATGTTTTTGATGTGCGCCAAATGCTTTTTGGAATTTCAAATAAAGCTTTGGGATCTCCTATATATACGGATAAATTTACTCTATTTTCCAATATTAAAATAAGTATTAGAGAAGAGAATAGAAAATGATTTATGGTATTTTTTATTTTTTGGGTAAAATCTTATCCTACGTACTTTTATGGTTTGAGCCGTCTTTCTTTTTCAATACTAATTTTTATTTTATTTTATGAATTTGTTTGAATCAGCTTTCACACTCCTCAATTAATTATATGAAATAATTTTTTCAACAATAGCATGTATCAAGTAATTTTATCGGGGTAGTCTTCAAAAAAATTATGGTTATCTTTTGTTATATTTTTGATATATCTCACTCAATAAATGTTTTCAAATAATTTTATTTCTCAATAGGTCTCTCAAATTTAAACTTTACAAATTACTCATTATGAACATGACAATTTTTTTTTAAAAAAGGCACATACTTCAACAATTAGTAAAACATTACTTATCAACAAATATTCTACTAACAATGAAGACAAAAATGCCTTTAAAAGGAAAGATAATAATATGATCATTTTATACTACAAGATGATCAACTTAGTAGCTTTAATAGTAGTTCAATACAGCAAAATGATGTTCTAACAAAGGACATCAATTAAAAACAAAACATGGACCAACTTAAACAAAACACACACATACTCAAATTCTCCAAAAATATTATCGCATCCATGTTGGACCCTAAAAACTGTATTACTTGAAGGATTCAACACACATCCGATAACAATTTTGAAAAGCCCAAACAACATAACACAACTATTATAACAAGACTATTGACACTGTAGATTCCATCACACCATATTAAGAATATCTTATTAATCGCGAAGTCTGCGAAAATACTCAGAAGGGTTACTCTCAAATTCATCCCTGTAAATGTAACTGTCGTTTCTGCCTGGAGCTTTCATCATTTTCTTGTTGTTAGACCCTCCATTATTAATTAGCTTACACAAACCCCATCCTAGCAATACTATTCCTGCACCAATTGCAATTTTTTTTATCTCCTCTTCTTCTGATGAAAGCCTGCCTATATTCAACTGCTCAATATTTTCACCACATTTTTTTTCTTCAGAGTTTTTTGCAGTGCTTTCACAGGAACCCATTACAGATTATTTTTTAAAAAAAAAAAAATTGGATTTGTTTCTGTTTAGATGTTCTAAGCAAAATATCCTAATTTATAAAGACAAGGTTAAACTGTTATTAGTTGGATTAATTAATGAATGTTGTTGAATTAATTAATTAGTGTGACGGTCCATTTCGCTCTGCATTGGAAAACTGAAATTTTTTGAAGGTAAAAAGACGTGGGGATAAATTAATTGAACAAATTGGGGACTATCAATAGTCAACTAAACATGGAAGATCATCCATGCATTCATATTATGATTTGATACATTATATTTTAAATTATTTTTTAATTTAAGGTACATTTTATAAAATTAATTTTATTAATGATGTTTTTGAATTCTAAATTTGACTATTATGATTTTGTATAGTTATTTAATACTAAAAATAATATAATACTTAATTTGCTAAAATAAATAAGTAAAATTAATTATTTATTTTTAATATAGAGAACAAGTAGGGTTTAATGGAAAAGATTTAGGGTCTGTTTGGAAAGCCACTTGGTAATTGAAACTAGTGTAATTACTAGGGTAGTAGTTACTAGCCTAGTAATTACACTATCTAGTAATTACATTGACCTGTTTGGTTGCCACAGTGTAATTACACTGTAATTACACATGTCTTGTTTGGATGTCACAGTGTAATTACACATGTTCTATTTGGATGCACAATTGCAATTATAAAATTATAATAAATTTTAAAAATAAAAATTAGTTATTTAAAATTTATACTAGACAAATAAGAAACTTTATAAATGACATTAAATTAAATATTTAAGATATATATTCTTTTTTGAAAATATATTAATTAATAAACATATTTTCTGTGACTAATATCATGAAAAAATAATTGATTTATATTTTTTCAAATTAATATATTTCAATTGAATTGATCGTAACAACTAAAAGTATGAAATTTCTACGAATATCGTGAAATGCATGTTTGATAAAAAGAATAATATATAAATAAAATGTCATAAATTATTAAATGTTTGACAAAAATATAATCTATCAAGTTTAATTAAAAAATGACGTGCAATGTAAATTCAATATTACTAAAACAAATGAAACTGAAAATATAACGTAAGTTATAAATTCAAAACATAAAATTTAACATAATACTCTTATAACGAATTTCAACATAGCAATAAATATGATTTATTTTTATTTTTTCTTAATAAAGAAAACGTAAGTCTATAACCTTACTTAACAATAAATTCTATTTTAATTTAAAAATTAGAATACTAATAAAATTATGCTAATGAGAAAATAAGCATGACATAAAAAAATAGATAATACGAGAAAATTACATAGAATCACGTAAAGTAAGGTTGAGAACAAGAAGAAAATGAAATATAATAATAAAAAATAAAAAATAAACTTTTACAAATTTTTAGAATAATAATAATAAAAAAAAAGGAACTTAGCATAATAGAAGTAAAAAAATTAAAACAAAAAAATAAAAATAGAAAAATAAAATAAAAGTAATCAGGTGGTAATTACACCATATAATTACCAACAATTCACAGTCTTTGCCTGTAAACTGTAGAGTGTAATTACCCCCTGCCAATTACACTAATTACCTGCTGACCAAGTAATTACATGTTCTTCCAAACAGGACAAGACGGTGTAATTACACCAATTACACCAAATCCAATTACCAGGGTGTCCTTCCGAACAGGCCCTTAATTTTTCTCTCAAAACTAGGGTTTGATTTGGGAGGATGAATTGATGGGTTAGTGGGAAATTGGGAATAATTGACGGCTTAGGTGGGGGATCAGTCCCACATGGCTTGCCATATTATTAAAATTTGGGATGTTAACTTTTAAGGGTATTTGTTATCTCTTGGATAACGATGGGGATATTTTTTATCCCAAAATATAATGAAAGGTATAAGCGATCTATTTCACATAGTTCATAAATAATTTTGACTCTTTTTCCCGAAAGATTATATAGTCTCAAAATGTTAATTCCTTGTTTATTTGCATCTCTCTATTATACATATTTAAAAAAAAAATCCAAAGTGTAGTTAAATCTAGATCATTAATTAATACTCCCTCTGTCCCTAATTATTTGTCCACTTTTGAATTGACACATCAATTAAGAAAATAATTAATGACATAGTGAGTTTACCATTTTACCCCTATTAATTATGAAATAGATGAAAAGTTCTACATTTTAAAAAGTAATTAATCATTTAATTGAGGATATAATAGGTGAAAAAAATTATTCTTTCTTGATTTGTCAAAATGGACAAGTAATTAGGAACAACTATAAAAGGAAAAATGGACAAATAATTAGGGATAGAGGGAAGGGAGTATTTATAAGATACGCTCTTTCTTATCTTTAGATTAGATAGATAATCCTTGTTTTTAACATTATTATCTTTAAGTCACCAGAAAATATGATTAGGTGGCCATTTTTCAGCGCGCACACTGTCATAGGCGAATCTAGAGGGTCTTGAGAGTGTTCATATACATTGTATTTATAAAGTAATATTTTTTTATATTTTTATGTATATTATTTAAATTTTGAATCCCTTAAACACAAAATAAAAAGTAAACTCAGTAATTTAGAGAGTTCAAAATTTATTTTAAAGTTTCAAAATCAAATCATAAACATTATATTTTTATGGGAAAATGCATAAGTATCCTCCAATTTATGTCTGAAATTTCAGAGACACACTTATACTATACTAAAGTTTTATAACCTCCGAACTTATTTTATAAATAATTTTCTATCTCTTTTCGGCCTACGTGGCACTAGGGGTGGACATTCGGTTCTTTCGTTTGGTTTAATCAAATTTCGGTTCGGTTCTTCGGTATTCGGTTTTAGAAAAGTGTGCACCATATTTCAAATCAAACTAGATCGTTTCGGTTCGGTTCGATTTTTTCTACTTCGGTTCGATTTAGTTCGGTGTTTTTAAATTGGTTTTTCGGTGTGAATAAAAATAAAGAGGGAATATGATAAAGTAACAATTGTTGTTTACTTCACACTTCAAACTTCAAAATAACAACTAACAATCTAACAATAAAAAGTAATAACATCAGAATAATTTTGTTTAGGCTGGGTGCCCTTTACTGTTTTGAAGTGTGAATGATAAAGTGTGCCCTTTACTGTTTTGTTTAGGCTCCAAAATTTAAAAACTGAAATGGGCCAGGTAAAGTTAAAAATTGAAATGGGCCAGGTAAGTATTTTGAGTCAAAATATATAAGTATTATTAAATAATATAATTTAAATGTTTTTAAATTTATTTAATAAAACTTCAGTTCTTCGGTGCACCGTAGTTTTGGGACCCTACACCGAACTCCGAACCAAAGTTTCGGAAAAAAAACCGACACCGAAGAACCGAAATAATTCGGTTAGGTTCGGTTTTTCGATTTTTCGGTATTTATGCCCATCCCTACGTGGCACTATCTTCTGGGCTCAGCGTGTGTTGACACTTTTTTCAAGCTATCTGGTTGATAGTGCCATGTAGGCCGAAAATGGTAGAAAATTATTTATAAAATAAGTTCGAATGTAATAGGACCTTAGTATAATATAAGTGTGTTTCTAAAATTTCGAACATAGATCGGGGATACTTATGCATTTTACCTATTTTTATCGACAAGTTCAACACTTTGCCTTGCCTTGGCAAAATCTACCAGTAGATATTTATTCCACCAAAACATAAAACTATTTACAGTAAGCTTTGTTAAAGGGCCAGCCTTAAATGAGGCATAAATACCTTCTACCAAACTTTTTAATATATGGAGTGTCTTCCCAAATTCTCAACTCCAGCTATAGAGATCAATGAGTATATTTTAGGCCAACTAAGAGTTTGATGTTGTTTAAAATATCATGTTTAATTGATGCAGAGCTC